GACACTGATAAACGAAATCCCCATTTATCTGTCCATTTTTCCACTTCATTAATTGCATTCTGCATACTTTTAACCACATATTGAACATTCCTACCTCTCTTCCACATAGCTCCATCATCTGCAAACAGAGACTTTTCAACTCCTAAATTAACCTGGGAAAAAATTTCATTAATCATTATATTAAATAAGACGGGACTACACACACTTCCTTGGGGAGTACCATTTTCGATAAAATATGTTTTGGAACAAGAAGATCCCACCCTAACTTGAATAGATCTATCAACAAGAAAACTATGAAACCAGTTAAACATACTTCCTCCAATACCCATATTATCCAATTTAATTAGAAGCCCCTCTTTCCAAATCATATCGTATGCTTTTTCCACGTCTAAAAATACCCCTACTAAAATTTCCTTATTAACTTGGGCCTTCCTTATGTCAGATTCTAGACATAACACCACATCCATCGTATTCCTACCTTTCCTAAACCCACTCTGGAAAGGAGAAAAATATCCTTTACTTTCCAACACATGATTTAGTCTAAAAATAACCATTCTCTCCATGATTTTACAGAGATTTGACGTTAAGGCAATAGGCCTGTAACTAGTTGCCACAGAATGATCCTTTCCTGGTTTTGCAATAGGAATAATTATCCCATGCTTCCATGTAGTCGGTAAACTCCCTTTTTCCCATACTTTATTAAAAAGACGTAACAATATATAAAGTGACTTATCTGAAAGGTGCTTTACCATTTCATAACACACATCATCCTTTCCTGGAGAAGTTAGCTTAGCCCCAATTATAGCCCTTTTTAGCTCATATAAGGAAAACGCACTAACGTACTTCCTGTCATTCCCCTATGAGATAATAATTCAGGATTATCCCTTAAACAACTCGCTCTATATCTTTTCATATATTTTCTGGAAGATTATCATTACTATGCACTTTAACAAAAGCTTTGGCTAAAACTTCAGCTTTCTCAATATCCAAAACAGCTGGTTTACTTCCACTCATAATAACTGGAATATTATTCTTTCTAATCATACCCCACACAAAACTGATTTCAGTTTCTTCACCTATACTTTCACAATATTTCCTCCAATAATTTCTTTTCGCATATCTAATTACTTTCCTAACAATTGCTTGGTTCCTCTTATATTCAATAAAATCATTACGACCTATTGACCTATTTCTGGGTTTCTTGAGCCATCAGTGTATATTGGCAGAAATGCATAATAAACTGTTCTGATATAAATGGGTTTTTGTAATATATTTAGTGACATTTTTGCAGCCCAATCCTTTACTTCCCATGCAAACCCTGTTCCTGTTAAGTTCATTGTCTCCCAACTCCCCTCTAATATTGATTTTGTAGGATGATCTGAATTATGCCCTTGTAAATTGATCCAGTAAGCAACAGATAATTTTTTACGTCTTATTTCTAATGGGGACTCTCCTGTTTCAACTTGCATTGCTGAGATTGGAGTTGTTTTAATTGCACCTGTAATACATCTCAAAGCTCATGCTTGAATAAGATCTAACTTTTTAAGCATACTGATTGAGGCAGATCCATATATAATACACCCAAAATCTAAAACAGATCGTAGAAGTGCACAGTATAAGGTGATCATTGATTGTTTATTTGCCCCCCATTCTTGGCCTACTATACATCTCATTAGATTTAGTACTTTACTACATTTCTTTTCAATGTAGTCAATATGGATTTTCCACGTTAATTTAGAATCAAACCACAGACCTAAATATTTAAATTTTGTTACCCTTTCTAATGGTTGTTTATATAAATAAAGTTTAATATTTTCTGCAATCCTTTTTTTTGTAAAAAACTGACAACACGTTTAGGATATAGAGAATCTGAATCCCCATTCCACTGACCATTTCTTTACGCCCTCTATTGCTTCCTGAATTTTATGTACAATATATTTAACATTTTTCCCTCTCTTCCACATTGCTCCATCATCAGCATATAATGCTGTTGAAATTCCTGGATGAATTCCTTCAAACACATCATTGATCATTATGTTAAATAATATAGGACTTATAGCACTTCCCTGAGGAGTTCCATTTTCTACATTCACCATCTGAGATAATACACTTACCTATTGTGTTACAAAATGATTGCCAATACCTCTTTTTGGCTTGCTTAATTATCTTCCTTGCCTGAGCCCGTTTCCTCTGATAAATTAGCACATTTGTAGGTATTAATGTTTTCCTAAGCTCCCTGAATGCTCTATTTCTATCTTTGACTGCTTTAGTGCACTCTTCATTCCACCAAGGAACAATCCTCAACCTATTTTTACTTTCAGATTTAGGAATGGAGTCTTCAGCTGCATTAATAATAATTGTATTTAATCTTCCAGAACATAAGTCTATATCATCTTCAGTACTATAATTCTCCATTCCATCAATGCATAACTTGTTACATTTTTTCCAGTCAGCTTTATCAAATTCCCACCTGGTTTGCTTTGTTTTATTTTGTTGATAAATTTCCATTCCAAAAGCACATATTATTGGAAAATGATCACTACCTAATGTTGAATGATCTAGGACTTCCCATCTACATTCCAGTGCTATAGTTCCCGGAACTATTGTTAGATCTAGACAAGAAGTTGAAGAATCCCTTATATCGAATCGAGTTCCCTTCCCATCATTTAAACACACTAAAGATTGTTCCTCCATAAACTCTTCTACAACCCTTCCATTCCAATCTGTGCATAAACTTCCCCAAAGTGCATTAAAATCCCCACACCATATTAAATTATCCCCAGCCTTCTTATTATATTCAATTCATCTAATGATTGCAAGGATTATAAAAGTTGACCACCTTTATCCCACCTTCCTGTGACCATACCTCTACCACAACACATTCACTCTGGGTATCTAATATTATCTCTCTAAAAGCCACTCCATTTTTAACAAAGGTTCCACATCCCCCACCATTTGATCCAATTCTATCTTTTCTAACTGACTTGTAACCAGGAATGACAAAATCTAATTGTGGATGAAGCCAAGTCTCCTGAATACAAATAATGTCTGGTAAAATTGTTAACTGATGTACAAGTCTTTTAAATTCTTGGCCATTCGCAATCAAACTTCGGGCATTCCATTGTAGTATTTTCATTTAATGGTTTTACTTCTTTGACTTCCCGAAGGATCACATAACACTGTAGTTCCCTCGGTTTGTCCAAGTAATGTTTGAATCTGTTCAACTGAAATTTCAGTAATACTCAAATGTTGAGCAGCTGCAGATATTATGATTTTCAGCTTTTCGGTTCTTTTCGCTGTTTGAGCTGAGCAATTAATGACTTCTGCTATAAATGCCACAAAATTAATTTTGTTTACCACAAGCATTTTTGCACTTCCATCCAAGAGACATTTATGACTGCATGTATCTTTAAATTGGGTTGTGTTGTTTTCCTTCAGATTTCCATTAACAGCTTGTACTTGCTTAACTGCTTGAGCATTTGAAATATTTTGTACTGTTTTGTATTTCATTGCTTCTGTAGCTAGTTTTTGGGCTTTACAGCCTAGAAACGCTGCACTGTGTGGACCTCCACAATTACAACATTTAGCTTCAATC